ATAAAGATAAAGACAGTGAGCACAATATTCTACATAAAACTAAGAATTACGATGACATTAAATATCTTAAATAGAATTTAAGAAAATATTGACGATAATATCATTGTAGTTTAAAAAAAATTACCTCAGTTTGCTTAAATTCCGTATGAATGTCTTATATATATAATATATAGTTAGTTAACTTTCTTCGATTATCAAACCGAAAAAAGATTACTGTGGCACAATTGCGAGTACTACGTCTAAAAGCACAAGTAAACATATTTAATACTCTCTAAGTGTGAAAGTATCGTCTAAATACAATGAAAATTACAAAGATAAATGTATAATATATGAGTAATATTATTCTTTGAAACTATTGAAAGTAATGTCTAACAGTCAGCCATCACTTACGCTGCATGACGGGTCGCATATAGTGCAAACATTCTACGCACTATTCCATTATTACTTTGCATACTATTGCAGATCAGAACCTTAATTCTAATAACCCAGTTTAGATACGTTATAACACAGTTGAATGCAAGATCGATATTTTATTAAATCTACGAAATATAATTATATTAACCATTAAATTGTTACAATATTGATAAACTTATGCTATACCTAATGAAAGATTTTTTTTTTGCGGTTTAAAAGAAACAGACGAAAATTACTTGGTACACATAAAAGTGAAACGTGATACAAATGATAATTCATTCTTGAAAATGAAGTAACTACACCGCCGAGATGAAAACATGTACATAAAAAAACTACTATGAAAAATAAAAAGATAACGAAATCATATTAAAACTAGTTTCAAAGCCGATGTAATTTTGGAGATCATGCTCTATTTGAATAATTACACATTTGTTATGTAATTACTCATAAAAAACCTTAACAAAGAAAGACAACTTTATATTTTAAATACGATGTTACTATTATAATGACATTTCTAATTCTAACTAAAATATTGGATCAGTTAATCATTGTCTTATTTTTATATTAAATACAGGTCAATTTGGTTTGGAATATTTAACCATATTATAAAAAAGGATAAAAATTCATAAAATTTATCGTTATTTCAAATATAACAATAAGAAATGAACATTAAATCTGAAAACACAGTACAGTTTAAATGCAATAACTCTATCATAATCTTATGAATATTTAACCCACATTATTATCTTATCATTAAATATATTAAATATTGGAATAATCTTAATCAATGAGTCGTCTAAATTAGTATCTATGCATATATTAGTCTTACTTACTACATGTTTGATTCATATTTTTACGTATGAATCAAGTTCGTAAATGCTAATGTCGTCTGCTCATTGCTAACCCGCATTGTCATCTTTTTAGTAAGATAGTACATGATTAAAAGATTATAAAATTTAAAACATAAATTACAAAAAGCGAAACCATTTAAATATGTGAACGTAGGTATAACAAAAATGAGAAATACGGCATTTTAAGGGTTATATTATTTACGTTCCATTCCTAGTAAGATAAATGTTATTATTTAGAAAAGTATCTCTCATAAAAAGGTAACAAATCAATAAAAATTGGTTAAAATAGTAAAATATAGTGTAGAAAACAAAACTAAATGTATAACAATAGAACTAAGGACAACCAGTGAATACTAAAATGATTATTTTATATTATTTTCTTTACATTGTTTAAAAAATAGTAAAATTGTCGAAAATCAATAATTGTGCTGATAAATATTTAAAAAAATATTCAAGCACAATAAAGCAAATATAAACTAAGCAAGGTGTTGTTCCTTTATCTCATAGTTGAAAACTAATCACTATGGTTACCATAAAATAAACAAGGCAACAATAACTATACTGTACTAAAAGTCGCCCATTGGTCTAAACCATTATCTCAAACAAAACACAAAAAGTATCAGAAATGTGAATGATAGTGGTACATTTAAATAACAGCATTACCGAAAATATTTATTATATTGAATGCTATAATGGTGCATTTGCAAAAAAAAAAACAGTTCTTTCCTAAAGAAGTACTTAGATGACTCCATATGGTCACAAGATTGAATTAAAGTTAGTTTTAGAACGATTGCACAAGACACCAATGAGAAAGATTATTCAGAGAAAAACAGCAGGTCAATTTCTTCTTACAAATTGAAAAAAAATTGCTTGAAAAATAGCAAAATAAAATCCACAAATTTTAATTATAAAAGTAACTTCACTACAAGTAACTGAAATGAAGATGACTTTTATAAATTTACGTTTGATAGTAAAACTTACTGTTAAAAAAAGAAGAAAATAACATAGTTATATATAGAATAACTGAGTAAACAAGTTATAAAACATATTTTTAATGAACTCACTTTACTTATTACTATATTTTATTGAATTTAGTTAATTATTAATCTAAAACCACATATTTTTACCGTCTTCTATTTGTATAACTACTTTTTCTCGTCTCAATCTAACACTTTACATGCATAATACTAAGAGCCTAATCTATATAATATATTTAATAAAATGACATTTTACTACAACTGATAATCACCTTAGGAAAATAATCAATTTGAATAGAACATTACTTGGAGAATAAATAAAAAATATATCTTTGGATTCATTTACTTCATTTTGCAAACAAGTTGTTTTGAAAGCTGTTATTACTCTACCCCTTCGTATTTCTTACAATTAACCTTTAATTTTTAATATTTTTTTTGCCTTTACTGAATATTACCTTAACATGGCGTGAACTTAATACACCCTAATTTATATGTTTAACTTGCTGTGAAAAATAGATCTACATAATCTATAGGTAATAAAAATAATTTTACGTAAAACCGATAGAATGTTTCACTATAGTTACTATAATAAAACAACAAACTGAGCATTTTGTACCTATTGCAGTGATAAATTTCTAGCAAAACAACTTCCTAGCATACAATAAAAGAATGATATAATGTAAAAAAAATAGTTAGCAATAAAATGTAGAATATTTTAAATCCGATCCAGTAATTTAAGTAATTAAACAAAATGGGCTAAAATAAAATATCTAAAATGTAAAACCTTAGAAATAGAACCATCAACTGCTCCATTGAACTTTTTATGATAATCTCATTTCGAACTATTTATTTCGAAATACTTATAATAATCATCAGTTGTCATAAGTGCATATAGTTATAACAAGGTTTGCCTAATGATATCCTTTATGTCCTTACAATCAATCGCCTTACATAAATTTATTTTATAACTAAGTTTCATCTTCATCATGTCCAATTGTTTTCAAAATTTACATTCTTATTCCAATAAACACTATTACTATAGTCCTATTCTAGAAGATCAATCAAAATAATATGAAAATACATTGATACAACTTGCAACTGATTACTGGATGTTGTATTATACAAACCAACCACCAACATAATGTATCAAAAATTTGAAAAAATTTGATGACATAACTCACTATAAATCAGCACAGTTATAACATGAAAAATGAAGATTATCAAAGATTTTTTCTTTCATGTGTTCACACCTCGACAAATAAGATCAAAATATTACAACAAACACACATAAGGAATCGACATAACATAGAGGATACATTTTCTTTTTATTTATTGCATTATAATAAATGTAATGAGATACTAAAGATATTAAAATATAATAACAAAATGGAAGTAAATTATAATATTTCTTTCTTATATCTCAACTTCATAGCCCAATTTTAGTACACAATACAAATTATTAAATGTTCTTTTAAGGGAAATGGTGACTTAAAATTTGATAATGACAGTCATTAAATGGATTTATTTTGTTTTAAATTCATATTTGTAAGTTTGTTGTCGAGATAGAAAAGAGGTAATTTTGTTTCAAAACCTACAATAATCAAAATATTAACTTGTTAATTTTGATTAAAAACGAGTTGACAAAATTGGGCCTGAACTTTATATCCTACCTTTTAATTAAATATTAACTATAACTTTGATTAATAAACAAATTTAAGACAATTACAAGTCTGAGTCAATTGAATGAATGTATGCTATTTTAAGCATGAAATATGTCCTTCTTTTTTAAATAAAATATGTCATTTTTTTCTATTAACTCTTAGTACTGTTTCTCTTTAAGTTGAATAGTATTTCAAAAGTATTAAAATGTACACAAATTAACTATGAAAAACTGTAATATTAAACAAATAATCATAAAAAATTAGAATGTGATACATATACTTGCAATTGCCTTTGGTAATTTTATTTAATACTAATTAATTTAATAAAATTTAAGTAATTCTTTCTTCTTCTTCACAAAATTCTAGATGATAAATTTACTTTATTTACTAATACTTATAAAAACTATAGAGTTTGGTATTGTTAGGTATGAACCTACTTATTAATATAAAATTTTCAAAAGACCCGTCATGCAATTAATTTAAGGAGATATAATATATTGAAGATTAAAATAATTATTTTTTGAAGATGAGAATTAATTGAAGATTAAAAAAAATAAATGATTAATTAATGTCTAAGATATATTGGTATTATGTAACCTAATGGATAAAATATTTCTATAAATTCAAATTTACCACTTGACTTTTTGCTTAAAGTCAGAACATGCTCTTATATTGAAGATTAAAATAATTATTTATTGAAGATGAGAATTAATTGAAGATTAAAAAAATGATTAATTAATGTCTAAGATATATTAGTATTATGTAACCTAATGGATAAAATATTTCTATAATTTCAAATTTACCACTGGACTTTTTGCTTAAAGTCAGAACATGCTCTTATACATAGAAGTTAATAATGGTTACAGTGTACTTACAATAATTTAACACTGCTTAAATACTAAACTACTTGTTTTCGCCGTCTTGGTGCCGTATTGTTTTTTAATCTAGAAAGACAAAATACTATGCTTAATGATCAGTTGTGTTTCCACGCATCTGAGAATCACAATTAGCAGAAATAGCAGTAGATATAGAAATGGTATTTCGATACTTACATACAATTATAACCTAACTTAATCTAAGCATCTTTGGCTTATTTAAGGGTGTTCCAACCAGGTGGATAGGTACTGTTGTATCTCCAAACGTGCCTCAGTCAATTGTGGGGGGTCATTCTCACTGGCTGGGTACATGTTGGCGCAATGTGCAGTGCCTGGAAACATAATACTTTTTATATGCAAACAGCAGCGGCCACATAATCAAGTGGATGGAACGTTTAAACTATGTATTTCAATTAACACACAATTTCGTTTGTTGTTGCAAAATGTTAAACTAAGCGAGTTTTAAGAGATAAGTCATTAACGCTTGCATATTATGATAAAAGATAGCAACTCACCGCGGATGTATATGGCAGGGGCATTGCTGTCCATAGTAGTAGTGATGCCAAGCGCGTGCCACGGATCGACAGAGCCATGGACGAATACTACCCTGTCAACGGATATGTCTAGGCCACCGTAGTAACTGTTGCTCCAATCCGCCGCCCTCTCTATGAAATCTTCATTGAATCTGAAACAATACGAATAACTTACAAGAGATTGTACAAAACTATCCTAGTTATTGTATGGGGTAGGTACAGCATGATGAAGAAAGACCCAAGTGTGTTCAAGGGTCTTTATTTGGCTCATGTAAACCACAGAGAATAGATTTTGTGAACCCTTATGCAACATTTTTTTCATTAAAATCCATTCAGTAGTAATTGCGTGAAAGAGTAACAAACATCCATCCATACATACAAACTTTTGCCTTTATAATATTAGTGAGGATAAATTAAATTACTTGATAAATGTGAAATACAGAATTTAAAATGTCAAAGAAGAATCAAGTATTTATTCGAGGAGTTCACTCACTTTTTACCGAAGACGTCCTGACACTGCTGCACAAAGAAGTCCAGTTTGAAGTGATCGCCAAAAACCTCCACCTCTCCAGAAGAGGTCTGGTAGAAACCAAACTCGGTGCAGGTCTGGTACATCCACTGGCGACCTGCGATTAGCGTACTTTGTTGTAACTATTAATACAAGCGGGTGAGGCGGAGGTGGTTTGGGGGAACCAATGACAATGATTTTTTTTAATGTAAGAATGTGGCAAACTTGCCGGCGCTTCATCTGATGTTAAGCCCAATTTTCAAAAGGTTGTCAACAGATCTGCAACCCTCGGGTGTAGCAGATGTCCATGGGCGGCAGTATCCACTTAACATCAGGTGAACCGTCTGCTCGTTTGGCAACTTTTCACATTAAAAAAAAAAAAAAAAAACATAACCGCCGCCCGTGGACATTTGTTACACCCGTAGGGTTGCGGGCGCGTTGCCACATTTTAATATAATGGGTTCCAGCTACCTCGCTCACCCAACGAAACGCAGAAGTGTAGGTTCTATGATAAGGCATTAGATAATACATGATTCCGTAGCGCAGTTGCCAAAATATTGGCTTCGGCACCGGGTTTCGTGGGTTCGGTTCCCACACGAGACAACCATTGTGATGATGTGACTAGTGTGATCAACAGGTAGTTATTTCCGTTTTGATCTGGGTGAAATTCCTGTATGCAAAACGTTCTTACATCACTGGATAATGCTATCCTACTGTAAGACGGCATCGTTTTCGAAGGGAACACTACAATTGATCTTCCAGGTCGCAGTGACCGTTGGGATTTACCTCGCAGCCGCTTCCGCACAAAATAGGGAAACAAAAAAGGGAGACATTTAATCTCTCCGAAGGGACGGAATGACAACGCTTACCCCCTTCCGAGCCCCAGCTGGCGTTCCTCAACTCCTCGATCATCCCGCCGTAGCTGTAGTCCATGCAGCTCTGGTTGGATTTCTCCAGCATCATGGAGTTGAAGGCGGCTAGGCGCTGGTGGGCCGGACTCTCGCCGGGTTCGGTCAGCAACTTGCACACCTGTATTGTATCATGATCAGGCCTACGCTCCGGGCGTGTGCACTTAACAGAATATAACGGCCGCACTCAAAGACTACAATTAGGGCTTAACTACCATTAATGCATGAAGCGGATTCATATTTTCGTTTTATTTTATCTCATAAGGCATAGCCAATATGTATCAGATTATAAACATAATTTGAAATCTGTTTAAATCTGAAATCACAACAAAAATACAAATCTGAAATCTCGGGACTACTGTGTAAAGCATTATTAGTGATAAGCGATCGTTGACTCCTAAAACCAGTCTTCTCTAAACCTTGCACGCGTATGCGCAGGCCCATAACAATGTAGGTATCGCTTGATAAATACAATACTCAAGAAGAGATGATGATAAATGTTCTATTTAGCGACCTACATAGCTCTCACTAAATAACTCAATAAATTCTTTTATCTATGTTGCTTCCGAATTTTGTCGAAACAAAACATGATTTATCGGTTTTATCGTATATATTTATAGCTCAAACATATTGTTGATTTGTAATGGGGATATTTTTTGCAGATACAAAAGTATTGCACGGAAGTGGTTCTAAAAGAAAAGGCCAAAGTTACGCCCAACGCAATTAGCGTCAAGATGTTTTTTGCTCGTGCCTTTTGCGTATAGGTATATCCCCTTTCGACTTACGCTGTTAATAGTGAGGTTCCTGTATCTAGTGTCCATGCTGATGCGGTTGTCTTCGTTGTACTGCACCAGGTCGGCAAAGTCGTCCGCTAGCGAGCTGAAGAAGTTCTTAATATCATTGCTAGTCGCCTTGGAGAACGGCTTGCAGACCCTGGCGAGGAAATGTTCCGTGCCTATTATTTATTTATTTTATTTACACTTTACTGCAACCTTTAAATAAAAACGATTACAAAGGGCGAGCTTAATGCCTTTTGGCATTCTCTGCCGGACAACCCGGGGCGTGGTGATTTATCTATTCTTTAAACCGTTACGGATAGCAGTTAGATGGTCCTCTTTTGCTAACAAAATTGTGGTAGGGGCACGGAACGGTCTTCTCTGATGCACAAATGGGCATGTCCGGTAGTACCACGACCTCACAGAAGACCGGCGTCAAGTGGAAGCGTAATACTTCTGGTGTCGTCTGCTGAGTGAGATATAGCCGCGGCCCATTTTATTAAAGGTGGCAACGCGTCTGCATCCCTACGGGTGTTGCAAGTGTGAATGTGCGGCGGTTATCACTTAACATCAGGTGAACCGCCGGCTCGTTTGCCACGTTCTGACTTGAAAAAAAAAACATCAGTACGAAGGCGAGCTAATTAGGAAATTATAAAACCACATTGTTGTTAATCATCAAAAGATCAGGAATAAATAAAACACGCTGTGGTTTCAGGATATGCAAATATTTTTTTTTCTCATTCTTTTCATGTGCGTATATCATAGTCACTCGGTACATACTAATTTTGATGATCAGTGTTGACGATGATGACATGCTTACAGTATGTCGAGTTTTAAATCTCAACTATTTGTATCCACGTTCGTTACAGTTAAAAGATAAGGAAGGTAGTTCCCATTCTTAAAATACTTTTCAACGGCAAATTACTTAACGATTACAAAGATTCCTCAGTTACTAATAAAAAAAGGAATGCACTGCCATGAATGTTTGCACGATAATAAAATATAAGTTATTTAAAAAATTATTCGCATTTAACTGCTATTATTTCATATTTACTAATAAATATAAATTTTTAAGGCCATCAAAATACTTTATTCACATGGCTAAAGCGTAATAAAACCGTTTGGTACATTCACATACAACGTACACGTACAATACAGTTCTTTTAGAATTTTATGAACGGTTAAATTTCAAACAGACATTCCAAAGTTTTGAATCAATTAAAGCGTTGTTAAGGATACATTCACATTCATAATATACATATGTATTTTTATAATAAGATCTCCCAAATACTAGTGGAAGGAAAGATCGATAAGCCGTAGCAAGGACCCTAATATCCGATTTTTTTTCTCATTTTTTTTAAAACACTGCCATACTATAGGATAACATTAACCTGGGCCGCTAGGACCTATTACATGCATAAATTTCAAAACAACTAACTGAGCGTCATTCAAACGTTTAACTGAGCAAATAAGAAACATAACATATGTTATTTCAAACGTTTTATTATCAAAAAGTATAATAGGTCCAACTTAATTGTCGCCTGTATTACTTTTCCGAAATAATTTTCTGGCAATTTTCCTTGGCTATGAGTCTACAAGTATATTTGATAGTTATATGTCAATTTGTTCACATTAATAACGACGAATAGGTGTTTAAAATTGTTATGTTCACGCAATTCGGTATAACACATGCCAACGTAATCAACGAACGAAACTTTGTATCGAACTGCAGTAATATAATCGCTCATAACAAAGGTTATTTATAAACGCGGACGCAGCATGTCATTGTGTCCGTCGTAAACATGTAAATATTATTAAAAAAAAATAAACGGTAAACCGATCGTGCTTAGCGTCAACCGTATTTATGTATGATAATTTTTTTCCATGTTGCCTCTGCATGTACCTATACAGTTTCTTTTTTTTTATGTGAAAAGCTATCAAGCGAGCGGTTGACCTGATGTTAAGTGCATACCGCCACCCGTGGACATTTGACCTGTCTCGCTAGACGAAACACACATAATACTTTCACTTCACTCTGATCTTCTGAGAAGCCATGGTACTTCCCCACAGAAGAATGTCTACGTATCTTACAAGTCAGGATTAAAAAAAATACTCTTCGTTTTAATTTAAGATTAGGCATTAGGCAAAGGCCTACACTGAGTCTAATCTAAAGAAGCTCTGTGGCAGGTTTATGATTACACACTTGTGTCAATACTTTTATTGACACAAGTGTGTAATCAAAAACCTGCCATACTTGAAATTGGGGGCCATAATAACTAACAGCTGTCCTACTAACATAGTAAACATTACCATTTACATTATTATAAGAGCAGTTAGCAAGTGCTTTTAAAGAATAAAAACTGATTAATTTGTCCAATGTTTGAAGTTGTATATTCGATAATTTACTTCAAAGTACTTTAAAGTTATATATTTATTTAGTTTTTAATATAACAATATTTATCGGTCAATTTTACTTTTATGCATAATTGGTATAAATATAATGATAAAAAATAAAAGATAATTCTCTTAATATAAATAATTCTCATTAAAACTTCTTATCATGATTTTTTTTATTACAAAGTTATAATAATAAATGTGCCTTAACAACCTACAAATACTTCGTTTAACAAACAAAACTTATCAATCTCCACTGAGAAGTTTAAAAAAATATTTACACTACTATATTTTTGATAATAATTGACAGTTATTACTATAACATATAAATATAAAAACTTTAACTTTAGTAACCTATTGGAAAGAGTAGAAGAAAATTATTTCTTCTGATGCATTTTTTACAACTTTATTATTTTATGTTGTCTTTTCATTACTTTATACTATACTAATAGACACATATTTCATGACTACCCGAATGGAGTAGTGGGTAGTGTACCTGCCTTCTGCGCCAAAGGGTGTGAGTTCGATCTCCACTACTGGAAAAATATTGTGTGATGAACATAGCGTTTTTCTAGTGTCTGGGTGTTTATATATGTATAATATGTATTTATTTACAAACGAAAAGTATGATTAAGTATGTTTATCAGTTTTCTTGTACCCATAGTACAAGCGTTGCTTAGTTTGGGACTAGAAAATGTTGTGTAAAAATGTGTCCTAAAATATTTATTATTTATTTATTTATGTAATTATTAGGTCATATGATACTTAAAACGCGCGGGAATCGAACTTAGAAACAAGGAAATTGCTAAGCAACATCACAATTATATCAGCATATAAGACTAGAAAATGTTTGTGACATTGTTCTCCTTGATTTTGGAATGGAATATATATGGAAGTGAATTTTACCTGCTTCAGTTCATTATACACATAACACAAATATTAATTAACCAACAAAAATTTGTAAGCTATCTGAAATCGGGATTTGGAATCCTATAATAACGTATTGAGCGGTTGGAAAATTTTCATTATTTTGATACGTTTAAGGTGGAATTTATTACCTGAATTCCTTTTCAACAACATGTGGTTTGGTCTTCATCAGGGCTTCAATTTGACTATGAGCAAGTCGCAGCTGAGTCACGCACTCCTCACCACCGGTTTTCTCGCGGAGAGCATCCACCACAACCGTGAAGTATTCTAAAAGCAAAGATAAACCTTGGACTCTGATAAATAAATAAGCATAATCAGTATTTTGTCTATGTTATTGATGATAATTGCACACGCCCTATTCGCATTGAGAACAGATATGGCCTTATGAACTATGACAAATTTTATCATAGCATAACTGAAAGAACTTTAATTCATAATTCCTTATAAATTATCTGTGTTTTCCAAAACGAATGATTATTAAAAAGAACTCTATGCACTACTTGGGTTACAATAAAAGGTCAATTAAACTAACCCATAAAGTTAACTTTAGCCAGCAGGGGTCCACTTGATGATACTGCTGCATACACCAGGTGAGGGTACTTCATCCTCAACCAAGCAGCCAATGAGCCTGGGTAAGAACCACCAAAAGCAACCCATTTCACCTCACGGTTTAACTTGAGCTTGTCATTCATAGCAGTTATAAAGTTTGCAATGTCCGCTAAAGCTTGGCTTGATGACAAATACTGCAAGTTCTTCGTGCTAAGGTCTCTGCAAATGTAAAAAAATGTTCCATTTCAAGTAACAAACTGTATTTGGCATTTATTTCAAATAGTATACAAATAATGACATCAGATATAGAAATAACTATTTGTTGATCACACTAGTCACATCATCACAATAGTTGTCTTGTGTGGGAACCGAACCCACGAAACTGCCCTACGGAGTCATGTAGAATCTAATGATAATGCCTTATCATATAACCTTAACAGAATATGGTATCAGTCACTTATTGATACCTACAACAATGTCTATGTCATAACTGTGGTAGGTTCACGCAACGGTTTTCACTGTTGCACGAATGGGCAGGTCCGTCCGGGTAAGTACCACGACCTCAAAGAAGACCGGCGTAAAGTAGAAGTGTTACACTTCTGCGTTTCGTCTGGTGGGTGAGGTAGCCGGGGCCCACTTTATTTAAAGATAGCAACGCATTTGCAACCATATGGGTGTTGCAAATGTCTTAACAACAGGTGAACCGCCAGCAAGTTTGCCACTTTTTCACTCTAAAAAAAAATGGGTTACTTCTGCCATTAAGGTATGAAAGGTTAATGGTCCACATCAAAGGTTTGATTATCGAATGTTATATTCGGCGTTGTTATATAAGGGGTTTCTTTGTACCCTTAAGTTAGCATGCAGTGGTAGTTGTAATTTGAGTTACAAAAGTTTGATTAATTATTTTTTTTCAGTCAGTTTTGGTCTCTATGAAGCATTATTTCGATAAGGCTTGTGCAGGTGTAAATATAAACTTTGTATTAGACTAAATATAAACTTTATATTAAAAATGCAACAAAAGAAACAATTTATTCAATTATATTAGCCTTGATGTATTACAATGATAATTTGTACAAAATTTTCAACAATCAAGGAAAAATCTGTATTGCAGTTCTAGATAAATATGTATCTAGATCAGTTCATATTTTGTTTTAGATAGATAAAAAAATGTTGGTAGTGAATACTTGAGAAATATGTATATAACATATAACATTAAAGTTCTTAACCGTTCATTCAACTATGTGCCCTCATTTACATATTTCTCAACCATTTGCCTATTATATAGCGCCTTGTTTACTTTCAATCTAGCTATGTTTGCACAATTGCATTATAATGAATTGTCCTCATTGACTGTCTGACTCATCATTTAGTACTATAGAAGTTAAGAATTTAATATATAATAGAAACTATAATGGGTACAGAACTACACAATTATAAATATTTATTATAATTTCATATGGCCATTTCATTTCATATTGCCTATGATAAAAGTGGACGCTGGTTTCATAAAAGATGATGAATTAGTGAACCTGATCAGATGGATAACAAATATTGTCCCTTCATTTATTATTTTATTTGTTAATGGCCATTGCAAGCTACATAATTGAACTATTGTTAAAGGTAATAAATAACAATAATTAATTCTTACTCTGTGGGGTGACTCTCTCCATAGAAACGATGTTCAAGGTTGATACAGAGGGCGTTAAACTTTTTTGCATATTCAATCCATGTCCCTGTAATCATCCATCTTGGGTCCGCTGGACCTTCACCACCAACCATTAGAAAAATAGGTCCAGGATTGTTGAAATCATAAAAGCTATCATTCACATAGTACCGCTGTAAAATTTATGACAGTTTTAGACTTGAATTAAAAAATTGAATAAAAAGATGTTGGATTTACAACAAAATTCTAAATGGAATTTTATATTATAATAATAATTAATAGATTGTTAGGGGTTTATTTATTCGCTGTAGTAGAAATATATCAATAAATGAGGGGTTATTTATAGTAAACGGAAAATCTACAAAACTACTACTCATATTGAGATAGTTGCGCAAAACATGGATAGATCATCCCATAGAGTTATAGAAAACATTCATCACATTTTTTTACGAAAACGCAAAGCAGACTAATGTGATAGCAATTTTTCAATTTTTTTATTGTTAGTATCATTTTACCTGCTTCCAGTAACGAATATCGGCTGGGGTGAAATGGTCCAATTTCTGTTTAAACCACTGCGCAGGAGGCAAGTCTTCTCCGGCATAGTCACCGGGCCCTCCCAAATTGCCACCCCTACTTCGACCCAGTCGAAATAATTTACCGCCATGGCAAAATAAAATGATGTTGAAAAGTATTAAAAGTAAAATTTTTAATCGCATTCTGGCCAATTCCTTTTATAAGTAGGTTGGAAATCTGAAATGTACATAAAATTTTTAAATATTTACATACTGGTCGAAACTCATATATAACTATAATTAAATACATGGTAGAGTCATATTTTTTTAATTGATTTTATGTATTTTATATGCATAGGTAATTTAAAAAAAATATTAGCATTCTGCACTCCTCTAAATAAACTATAAGCGTGGGAAGTTTTATCCACCTCCTTCAGCGCATATTTCGAAAAAGAGGTACAAAGTTTTTGCTTCACGTAATATAATTATAGATAATATCGTGAAATAACAGCCGAATTATGATCACAGCGTTATGCCTACAAAAAATGAGTCTAACCTGCAACTTTTTCTCTATCAATAGATTCGGAAAATATAAAAATTTTCACTTTAGTAATCACAGTACGAAGTCGCAAATAGCTTCGCCTCGCCCACAATGGCCCACAATAATTGAATAAGTACCAGATATATAAAAGTACTCTTTGACAAGTATTAAGTACCTAGTTTTATTACGTTCCCCCGTACCCCAACCCTTCTCAACAACAAATTGAATTGAATGCATGTGCATAAAATATCGAAGATATATATCTTTGATATTTTTATCTCGATATATCGACATTCAATATTTATTTTAAATTATCGAATTCGTGTCATTTTCGATACACTTTGTAACCCTGCTTTCGTGTTTTAATGTTACTAGATACTCGTTGCAGGTTCCTCGCGCAACGTTAACTTTAAAAAATCTTTTCAATTATTTTCTTCACGTCTATTCCTTTTCACGAACTTTCAATGGATTGTAAATATGTATGAATAATCATGCGAAAACGATATATCGATATTTTCACTCGATAATTATCGATACTTTTTCAAAATATTGATACGATATAATCGATATATTTTTTTAATTACCCATCCCTAAATTTAACAAAGGTAATATGAGATAGGAATTATTAGTAGTAGTGTTGCACAACTATCGATAGTTTGACTATCGATAGTTGAATATATTATAACAATAATAGCAGTACTATCGATAGTATCGATAGTATTTCTGTAATCGATAGTATTGCTGTTACCGATAGTATTGACACTCGGAGAGCCATCGATACTATTGGTAGTATCGACGGTGACACGTGATAATACTACCGATACTTTTGCTTTTACCTTAACTATCGATAGATAATCGATTGTCTATCGATAGCAGACTATCGTAATGCAACACAAATTGGTAGTCTGCTAAGTGCTACGGCCTGCGCTCCTAGTTCAATGTAGCTAAGTATTTAAGTAAGCGAAAGCTGATTTCAACAGAGACAATTTATTCATTTTAAAAAATTGGTCAGCGCTAACTATTCCATTTTTTCTCAGATGCAAAATAATAATAATACTATATTTTTATATCAGATAATTTTACAATCCATATATCAGTTAATAATATTAGTATTAGTAAACTGATATCAAATAACATTATGAAACATATCCATTATGTCATCTAATAACTGCAAAAGCTGCGTAAAGCTTATAAATATAAATCAAAGTTATGATGTGCCCGTAATTTCTGAGTCCATAAGTGTGTGTACTTACGTATGCACGTAAGAAGGTATACTTGTTGAACGTAACAAAAAAAAATATTTTAGTCCTTGTGCTCTTACTTTGTAAAAAAGACATTTAAAACACAAACTTCTTAAACTTTTTTTTGCCTAGCTTCTATTGGCCAAATCGGTATTCGGTACCGTGCAGGAACTTCGTTCCAATAAATAGTAACTGTCAAAAAGTTGTTATTGGTTGGCATGGATCATTGATCATGGTAATGCCGTGAACTTGGTTGAAATTGGTAGCTTTGCAACCAACTTCATCATGTCTCTGTTCGGCCTACCATCAGCGCAAGCGCATCCTAAAAGTTTAACTCTTATATTTTTTTCCAAACGCACCAACAAGTGTTTAACTTCAAAAAACATTTCTTCCCGTATAAGCAAAAAAAGTTAGTTAAAAGTTAGGTTAGTTGCAAGGTTGCAACTATACATCAAAGTGTAGCGCAATAAGAAAAGTCGGCGAACATTTCATAACCTCATCGCCGAATACTTGGAAAGCATGCATGTTGAAAATTCATACCTTAGCCTTCCCGGAACCCCTCCACTAAAACTTAAACTTTATGGTATGGTAAAAGTAAAGTGACAGCCTATACATGTCCCACTGCAGGGCAAAGGCCTCCTCTATACAAAGGGTATCAGGGCATAGTCCACCACGCGGCCCCACTGCGGATTGGCGGACTTCACTGTCTTCGAAAAATATATTATTTTTTGTTATTATTTCGAAAATATGCAGGTTTCCTCACGATGTTTTCCTTCACCGCGGAGAACGTGATAAGTCAGCACTTAAAGTTAAAAACATTGGTGCCGGCACCGGGCATCGAACTCAGGTTTCTCGAGTATATTGATTTCAAGTTTTTTTGGCAAGTAGCGTTAGACGTGTGTTCATTTATTGTCGTGATGGTAACGACACGCTGTATATAGATATCATAATATAATTGCTTGAAGTCTTCAATTTATCCTCTACCATGCTAGCACTTATTTCTTACTGCCGGATGTTACTACTTGGAAGACGTACTTACACAGATTTGGCTTATTCCCTAAGGAATAAAGGGCCTACGCATCCTTATTTCCGTCCCTTTATAACTTAATCATTGTTTAAAGAACATTACTGTTCTAAATTTCGTAAAAAATTGTTTCTAAAGTCACTATACATCTTTAAAGATTAGTGTCTCGAACATAGTTGTTTTTTACCCCTGAATCTATCATGTTCCTTAAAAAATCATGCATTGAATTTAATTCGTTCAAATGTGATAAATACATTTTTAACTTAGGTAGGCTAAGGTAACAAATAAACTTGAGGAAACCGAAAAGGTAAATATAAAACCCGTAAACGGCGCAAAATAACCAAACTTTTGCTGAATCTCGGAAATTAGTAATACTGATAATATAGCTCATGATATTATTAATGTTTGTTAAACTCTCTGTATGTGAACACATGTTATTGGCGTGGTTTTAAATGTTCTATATTTATGCATATGTTATGAATCCTTCATTAGCTGAATCTTTTCGGAAGAAAATAAAATAAACGTAACAAATAATTTCTATGTTTTAATACATTCCTTTATGTTTAACGGTGGTAGAGACACGCAACAGCCTGTTGCACGAATGGACAGGCTCGTCCGGGTAAGTACCACGACCTCACAGAAGACCGGCGTAAAGTGGAAGTATGACAAATACTTTCGCGTTTTGTCTGGTGAGTGAGGTAGCCGGAGCCCCATTTCCAAAAAGTTCGTCAACGCATCTGCAAACCCTCGGGTGTAACGGATGTCTATGGGCGGGGGTATTCACTTAACATCAGGTGAACCGTCTGCTCGTTTAGCAACTTTTCACATAAAAAAAAATGTATTTACTGTATATATATATATATATATATATATATATATAGGTTATTTTAATAACAAACATGTATTAATTATTTCATCATTAGAACAACACTCGAACTACCCAATACTAAAAGACCCGACCTATATATAATACGATAATATCCCTAAATACGACATGAACACCCATTTGGGTAGTCCCAAAAAAGACGCTTCTAGCAAACAAAAGTAAGTAGTAGTAGTAGTAGATCTTAGAAACTGAACTTCAAGAGTAATCAACAACAGGAGTATTCTGACAGAATTTTTCAGGCATTAGAACAGCTGGACAAACAACCCAGCTAGCTACACCCTGATCATTCCACATCAAAGTAATCAAGAACGTATAATATGTATATATAATGTATATATATAAAATAATTAATGTTTAGATTTTCCAATAAACGGCTCATATCTATCTAATACCTTTAAACGAGCAATTGTTGTACACATATATATATATAATCGGAATCTCGGAAACGGCTCCAGCGATTTTCATGAAATTTAGTATGTGCGTAGATTCGGGGGCGAAAAATCGATCTAGCTAGGTTTCATTTTTAGAAAATGTCCTTTTATCCCTGTTTTCAGGGAATGAATAATATCATTCGAATATGACGGTTAATTTCGCCGCAAAATAAAATGTTATAATAGCTCCGTCGGTAATCGGGGCCCAAACGGAACGCCGTCACTATTATTTACACACTTTTTTTTTCGATTCCAGCATTGCTTTCTTGCGACCAGTATAAAAAAAGAAATGTGTGTCTCGTGGAACTCTCGATTGAAACTAATTTCTTTTCGTAGTAGGTATATTACTATTTTTCTGATTCCGCTTCGTGCTCTCGTACGGAACGGACCTCTCTCTAAGACGGAGGGCTAATGCCACCCGAATTAGACGCTACTCGCAACTTCGGTTGCAATTTAAATCTTTGTGCAAGCAGTGCAGTAGTTTAGTGTTAGTGTTGTGCTCGTAGGCAGGTTCCTGTTCTGTAAGTAGAATTCTATACACACTTCTCGCCTCAGAGGCGGCATTGTTTTTATTTAATAACTGTGTGCTTGTTGCGATAGGCGACAGCTAGGTACCCACCCTAGCGCACCTAAAGCGCAGGCGGATTAGTTGTTAGTTTTAGGCACTCACTTCCCTGCCGCAAGGTGGGGAGGCCTATTTAGTAACTTACACGCCGGCGGGGCGCAAGCCCCAAAGGCTCAAGCGCTCGAAATGGGTTCCCTCCTAGAGGAATTCCTTCGCCAACGATGTCCCGAAGTGTGGGCAAACTTTCTCGCGTTCGCGAAAGAAAAATGTTTAGTCGTCGAGTTCGCCAGCGACAGCCCGGCTCCACCGGCAGTCGCCTCGCCGTCATCTCCGGCGCCCTCAGCGCCTGCTAATGTGTCGCCTTCAGCGACACAAGAAAAGCCCGTCGCGTCGACCTCCGCCGCCGCGATCGTACCCATCGCGCCTTCCGCGCATCCCATCTCGGCCCCCTTCCGCGCCGTCGTTCCCGACTCACATTCGGACGGCGGATCGGACATGGAGGTCGAAACGACCCCCGCTGAAAACGCGAACGTCGACGGCTTCACCGTCG